GATTTGGGCTTTAAAACAAATACAAGATCATGTTTCTAGCATTTGTGGTTGATGAGTTATAGCCATTCAAAGGTAACCAATCATACTTGCGTTTCTTTTATGGGCCACTGTATATTGTAATTTATTAATAGTTTTAATAATCATAACAAATTTATTAAATTTATTAAATTTATTATTTATAGACTCCATTAAAAATAAACGTATGTTTAATTCTGTCTATACCTATATATTAATTGCATATATCATGAATCTTAAACGTAAAACTTTCTATTAAGTAGAATCACTGACATATATTTACGAGGCTGTTTTTGACTTATTGAAAAAGAACCTAGCTAAATATATTATGTATAGGGATAATACAATCCCTATTAAGATCATAAAATTCTTTTTTCCATAGTTCTATATTGCATAATTTATCATCACCATCAACCATACAATGAAATCTGGTTTTTTGATTTTCTGCCAAAAGATACCACTTTACAAATACTAACGAATATTTTTTAGATCTTTCTGGAAGATGCATAATGTGTTCAAAATAAAATTAAATACCAGAATAAAGGTCTTTAGTATTATTATGAAGAAATTGGAATAAGATTTTGGCTGATTTAACATGTCATTTAGAATATAATGATCCAAAAACTTCAGAGCCGAGTTGCAACTGTCCATAAATATTTACCCTCAGAAGTACCATATAACATTAGGTGAAGTGACATGGATATCTGATAGCGCTGCAAAATCTCTATCATAAGCATTGCAGTAATACTCAACTAATAAATCTAATATTTCTTTCGAAAGGTTTGTGTTTGTATTTTTAAGATTAAGAAAAACGCTCAGAAAGGATTCTGAACCTATTTCAGCCAATTCTTCCACATCTTTAAACATTAATAAAAAATTCTGATAGTCTATTTTATTGAATTCATCTTGAACTGCAAGACTACCAGTAGTTTCTTTTGGTGCTATTAAAGGTAAACAAGCTGATAAATGTTGATTGCCTTGAGTATATGAAAAAATTTGATCAATAAGGAAGTTATATTGAATGATTTTCAGTAATTCTTTTATTACTACTATGATATGAATCTATAATAATAAAATAACTTAATAAAATTCAATTAATAAATTTAATTTAATAAAAAGAATATCAGAATTACCTAATAGACCATTTATTCGTTTATAACTAAAACACCAAAATGCATATAATGGTCTATAGTCTAATGCACAATAGCAAATATGTAAGCATAAATGTGATTCAGTGTAATTTTTTCTGCACCATAATTATCTTCTATAAGTTTTACTATTGTTAGAAGACGTTTGTGAGCTTCTTCTAACCCATCCTTGGATATAAATCTGCATACAAGAATATTACATGCATGAACAAAATTGGCAAGAATTATTCTATCTGATTTTTGAAGTAGATCCCATGTTATGGAAGTAGCATAAACTAAGATAAAGGTCTTTTACTGATCTGTGGTAAAACTTGAGAACCCTTTTCTCGTAGCAATTTTGAATGGAATTCTACCAATATCTGATGGAACCTTTATTAAATTTGCTCTCTTCTGTATTGTTTCTAGATTCTTTTATGTTAATCGACCTTCTTCAATTCACAATCATATTACTATCCATTTAGTGATTCCTAAGAACAAATAATGCATAGGATCTATTACAAGAAATTGCATAGAATTGAAATATGAAAGATGGTATACTTCAGACCAACATAATAAAGTATTATGAACATTATTATTTCTAGTAACTTTGGTATTACAATCCAACCATTCCTATGCATTCTTTCAGATCTGATCGATATCTCTTTCAATAAACTATTCATTAATATCATCAAATCTACTAAAATTCAGTTGACCATGATCATTATATTGAGCCATTTTTATACATCTATGATAAGCTACACGTGCTGATATATGGCTATATAATTTCTTCGCAGCTGGAATGTTACAAGAATAGCATATTACTATAGCTCGAATAGATATACTATTAGAGCTTTCGTATATTGCTGATAACTTAACCTCTTCCCACAATTCAATTAATTGGTCGATTACTAAAGATAAATAATGGTTTAAATTGTATAGGTTTGGCTCGTTTGGACTCAGAATTAGAGCCATCATTAATATATTTGATGGATTAAACCTCTCATTTCAAAGGGGTTACAAATTACATTATATAAAGCTTCTACACTATAACTTACATGATCGAATAGTTGAAACCAATCAAGGTTTAACATAATATCCAAGTAACGATCTGATACTTCTTTTCAGAAGAATATTAAATCTTCATTTGGGTCTTGAAAGGTCTTTCAGATTCTTCTGTCATAAATATCATTTAAATATTTGGTATTATTATATTAATCTGCCCATTTCCTATATGACTCTTCAAACCCTTTCTGATTATATATTAATTGCAATTGATGCTTTAAACTAACTATTAAAAATACCATGAAGGGATGATATACTATTCCATTTGTAATAGGAACTTTCTTAACAAATTTAGCGTCACATTGTATTCTTTGGTTTACCATTGAATGATTTGAAAAATCTACATAAGTATACTGACTTGCAGTTAGAACTTGGCTAGGTTTGTCAGTTGATACTTCTGATATATTATATAGTTGCAGCATTTTTCACATGCTGCATATTTTATAATATGAGCGCAAATACCAAGATTTTTATGTGCTATATATAGTGATATTGGAAAAGAATTATAAGTATTTGCGATTAGGTTAACTAGGAGATATCTAATGAATTTGACCAAAGTGTCAGTAGTCACGTTAGATAATTAAAACCTCTCATAGTATAACAAAATCCATAAAATAATCCAATTAAAATTTTCGCTAAAATTAGAAATAGGTACTTCTGGATCATTACTATATACATTCTTTAGCACATCGAACTTCATGAATGAAGGTTCATATTCATTTAGCATTTCTTCAATAAAATCATCATCTTCATCATTATCATCATCATTATCATCATCACTGTCATCATCAGAATATTTTGTTCAATAAGGTATACTACGTTCTTGCTACTAATATTTTTTTGTTTATTTCTCGATTTGACTTTTGGTAATTTTTTAGAAAGAAACAAGTAATTTTCTTCACCAAGAATATGTTCAGTTTCATAATAATCACTACTATCTGATGTGTTAACATCAATTGAATTATCTGAAAAAACTACTGATGAATCTTGATTTAACAAACCTGTATTTAAATCTATAGATTATGTATCTTCGATAATTCTTCTTAGTCTAATATCCCTTTTTGAATTGTGTTTTTTTCTGTATGTGGATCAACTATGTGACCTTTGCATTTATTGTAATAACACAAAACTTTCTTTGATATATATTGTTTGGGTTTATTAGATTTTTTTACAAATGATTTTTTGGTTTTTCGATAAGTTCTTAACATTATAAATTTGAATACAAAAATTATTTTTATAAAAAAAAATTTTAGAACGTATTGTTTATATATATATAATTATCATCATTAATCCATTGTTTGTAATAGACTATTATTGTGATTTAAACTTAAACATCTTAACAATTAAAATGATATGATCATCTGATTTCTTATACTCT